CTATTTTCGAAACTGCAGTTAGCGGCAGTGATGATCTTTCAAATTGAATAAGTGATTTGTTAGAGTATCGATCATGGATTTTTCTACTCAACTAAATCAAGCATGTCATTGTGTGTATGTCTATGTGCATTGTGAGGGTAGAATGGCGTGTCAGCTTGCGTCTTGATGTCTATAAAAATGACCGTTAAGTTGTATGCTAAAGTGCGAAGTAATCGTCTACATTAGATCAGATGTTTTTTTGCTGATACTACTTATTCATTTATTCTTTAAGTGTACAATTTTTTGTGAAAAATTCTTAATATTTTGGTTTGAAACTGGATTACTGACAAGAATTAAGTTGATAATTTATTATTTTTCGGTTTTATTACTGAATTAATTTGTCCTTTATAAAGAAGACTAGTTTAGAGGTTTTCTTTAGGCAATAGATAACTGAATATCTAGTTTCCTTCTGTTATGACGGAGAAGAATGACTACTGATGATTTACTTTGACCACCTCGATTTACGCTAAGCCATAAACTGAACCTTGAGTGTTCGGACCGACTTGAAGAAGAAAAAAATGTGTGTGCACGTTTGCATCATGTAAACTATGATACATTTATACTAGGTGATGACTGAAGTCGAAGTGAAAATTTGAACCACAGACGGGTTCGGACCAGCAACCACTGGGTTTCCAGCTCGATGCTCTACCAACTGAGCTACGAGGTCCGACTGTTCACCAGATTTTTATTTCACTTCAGTCACAAGACAGGTTTTTCCTGAATACCATATGAATTCGTGATGCCTTACTACCGCTTGGTCGTATTCGCACTGGCTGCTTATTCAGGACTTCTCATCCCAATCCAAATGTAACTTAATTAGAGAGGGAAAGCACCATATTGATTATGTGAGACAGCCGTGGTTTGGCGGACTAGCATTTCTACTAGGTGATGATTGAAGGTGAAACAAAAATTTAGACCGTGGCCGGTAAAACTCAGTTGGTAGAACATCGGGACAGAAACTCGGTGGTCGCTGGTTCGAATCCCCCAAATCATGACTATCCCAGATGGTCAAAATGATAATCAATATGATGCATTTTTATATCGTTTCAATCTTTTTTCATTTTGGTGACTACCGGTTAAATCCAGGATGTGCGTTTCCTTCTATTAGTGACTCATCAGCCGAATGTACATGCATACCAGTAAGTGATGTTGTTCCCGCTGATAATGGAGCCCAGTATCAACCGCTTTATGTGCTAAAGCGTTACCCACTATGCCACTGGGGTACGAAAGTCACTTTTTGCGCAACGGGCAGCACCTATTATTTATTGATATTTGTAATTTCCCATTGGTATACAGGGTCGAACCGCTCGACCTTTGTTGACAAGTGAGCTTCAAGAGGTGGCCCGTATGCCTCAGTCTCCTAGTGGATAACGCTTTGGCGTTTAATGTGGTCGATAAAGGGATTGAGTTTCAGTGGGAATAATACCACTCGTTGGGGTGCAAGTACATCTAGCTGACTAGTCCCAAATCAAACGGAACGCGCATCCTCGATTCCGCCGTTGGGCACTGAGATAAATATGACGTCACAGGTAACCTACAGTAACATAATGCCCACACTGGAACCCACCTGCTAACAGCGGTCAAGGGATTCAGCCCTGTATAGCAATGTGAAATTACAAGTATCAAAACAATCATTCTAATCTAACTAAGCAATACAAAGCACTGGTTACTTCAAGTGAACTGATCTTCAGTGCATAACCGATGTAGTGTAGTGTTCAGTGCTTAACTCCGATTGAAGTCTATTGGTCAAGTTTTGCAATGTAACCACCAAGTGAAGTGGTGCGACACAATGACACACTGTGATTCAGTGTTAGATGTTAGCAGTCAAGTAGTATAAAACCTTACAGTTGACTCCCAACATGCAACACTAGTTGCTTTACTTGATTATCAAATATTCCGCTTCTTATTTTACTCCTAGTTACTCTATTTGAATTTCTAAAAACGTTGACCCTGCCGCAATGGCAATTGACCAGTTATATCTAAATATTAGAGGTGGGTTAAGTAAGATCCGAAATTAAGAGTTAATAAACTAAGAAGAAACGGATAGATGAGCGATTTGGTGATATTACTTCAGATTTTTTTAATTATCTGCAAAACAAACGGAAGCTCAAAAATACTTTTTCCTAGGATATTAGCTGTGAAAATATTTATTCTTTGGAAACAAAGAATACAAAGAAGTTTCACATCATTTGTTTCAAGAGGATTAGTAACAAATTTAAAGGCGCATATCTCCTCTTGTTTGTGACTTATTAACATAGGCATCCTTACACTCTGGGAGTGGCTTTCTCTGAATCTTTTCAGTATCTATCCTCCAAATCCCTAAGTGTTATATTTCAGGTTGGTAAGATTAGTGAAGCAAACAAAGTGTAATTATAAAGTTTAATAGCATGATTTTAAATATACCTGAATGATGTTGAATTATGATTAATTGTGTTGGGTACCACACTATTATTTAGTGAGTCATGGGTTGAAACTGATGATTTCTTATAGTAGTATGTTTCCTCACAAGGTGAATGGGATTTACAGTTGACAAGTATACTTGTTTACAGGTGTCCACTCAATCACTTTGTTCCCCGAGTGATAACAGAGATATGCAGTTTAAAAAAATATTATATTTTCAGTAAAATACAGAGTTATTGCTGGGAACGAACCAACCAAAAACCTATCGCCCAACAAATTTGCGGAGGAAGAAAGTGGATATGAATCGGATTGAGCATACACTGAGAAGACCAACTGGGGACATCATGCGCCAGACCCTCAAGTGGAACCTAAAGGGGAAACGACTAGTTGGGCATTCGAGCCGAGGGTGACATGGAGATGGTAGTGTGAGGAAGAAATGAAAGCTTGTGAACAGTCGTGGCGCCAGTATGAAAAGACTACAGAGAAGAGAGTGCAACGGAGGCGTGCTACCGAAGCCCTATGTTTTACTAGGAACCCAAGGGAAAAATAATAAATAATAAGAGTTATTTTATGGGTTTCATTTGTTTTAACTATTCTTTTTTAATTCGCATCTCCATTTTAACTCAGTACAATCATTGTAGAATTTAGTTAACAGATAATAATCTGTATCCGATGTACAATGAGTGCAATGATTAAGATTATTCATTTATAATAAGGTCATACCAACCAGATAACATTAAAAAAAACAACTGTTATCTGATTAATAATGACTTATCATCTATTTCCTTTCTTAATTTGTTCATCAAAACTTTATCACATTTTGATGAATTTTCCTTTTTTTCCAGATTGAACTTTACAAGTTATGGAAAAGTACATTTTAGTGATCGGATGATATTTTTTATTCTGTAGTTTATTTTTAAAAAAAATGCGTAAACTTTAGGTAACAAATAATCAGAAATAAAATTTTACATAACTAGGCTATGAACTATGCTTATAGTATTAAGGATAATAATAATAGTAATAATATTGAGTGTGTTGAAGGTAGAATGGGATGCGAAAGTGGAAACTAGTAAGTGAAAATTATGCGCACAAACTATTAGATAATCTAGAAGGGATCGTGTAATAAAACGTGTAAAACGAAGTTAATGAATGAATAGTTAACTTCAAGAAATGTTCAGACATAACACACATTATCAATAAAATTGTACCTTTTTGGTCGCATAGATCAACATCAGTAAATTCCAAATTATAATAACTTATTAATTTAGTCAAAAATACCGCACTCATTATGTATGAATTTTGATATGTTTACTTTTACGGGGGCTAGATTTCGAACCTCTGGCTCGCTGATTGAAAGTTGAGTATTCTAAGCTCGATGATGACAAAACCAGTACATTGAAGCAGATAACATGCTGGATAAGAAATTATTACAAAATTACAGTTTGTGATGTGGAATTGAACTTTTAATAAATATTTTGGACTGTTATAAATTTTCCAAGCGTTTGTAAACACCATATTGTAAATCCAGGGCTTTCTACTGGTTGACTTTTGACAAATAACTCCAAACACCGTACACTACAGTGTTGTGTCACTCGGTTTACTGGTCATATTGAAAACTTGAGTGATATAATTCTGTTGGTACTGATCACTTACGACTTCACAGCTACTTCGATGTTCATTCTCCAGTGTTATGTTTCTTTTTGAACCTCGTCACCTGTTCAGTCTGGTATACTGAGGTCACGCGCACAATAAGTCATGCAACTCTGTCCACCTAACCATGTACAACAAAACACAAAGTCCAGTGTTTACTGTTTTTATAAATCAGGCGATTTCATTCATTTACATATATAACTAAATTAATTTACCACAACTCTTCATAATTTATAAAGATGAAACAAATGATCTCATCTGCAAAATATACTATGGTACATAACAATGAGTTTTAGTCAAAAAATATAGATCATACAGAGATGAGTGAAGAGACCATCAAAAGCCCTGAACCGAACTATACAATAATGCTAACGCTTAGGTTATAAATTAAGTAACTTATAAGATAAATAAAATAATACTACCAATGATATCTATCTAAGATTCACATTTTCCAATTTTCCATTGATATAACATTCTATCTTTTAGATAAGTAGTGAATATAATGGTTTGGTAGTAATATCTCTGACCTTAACCTTAGTTGCCACGTGTATGAATATTTTAAGGAAAACTGATTGTTTCAAGATTCTCTATAAATGTACTGATGAATACAAACAAGCATGAGACATAGGTCTGAGGTTTTTTATCCATTCTTTCTTATCAGGTAACATGAAATATCTGCTTTTTCAATACAATTAAATGTTCAAAAGTTATTTTAGATTAAGATAATTCAACTGAGGTTTAATAGTAAATTGTGTAAGTGTTTTACGTCATACATGTATAGTTTTAAATTCATGTCATAGCCAAATTGAAATGTTTAATTCGTCCATTATGTCAGGTTTATAATTGTAAATTCTCCTTATTTCTTATTCGTTCTATGTAATTAACCTTTATCGTTTTTTTTTGAATTTTAGGTAGCATCAAGGGATAAACGTTTCTTCTCAAGACAATCAAGTAACACAAGTAAATCTTCTTTTGTCTCTGGTGTATCCATTTCATCGGTGAACGCTTCATCGTCACCGTCTACACGAAAACTGACAACAGCTACAATCAACTTTCCAATTCCTCTGTTACGTGTATTAGAAAGTAGTAATCAAGATGTTCGTATAGATGTTGATGAAGATAATACTACAACCGGCGAGCAGTCTTCTGATACGATAGATGCTACGAAGCCATCTGGACAGTCATTATTTCAACAACAACAAAGACAGCATACACTTTCAGTTCCGTTGACTGATATGAATGAGAAAACCTATCCATTCTCACCAGCTACAAACATAGCAGTGAAACAAAATGAAACATTTTTACACACTACTGATGAAACGAGGTATTTGTTAAGTGAGAGAAGAAACAGTACTTCAGTAATTCAGCCAGCAATATCTTATACAGAATTATATGATAACAATAATAATACAACTCTATCATCAAAGACAACAACAGCTACAACGATGACAGCAACATCCCATAGATACAGTGAATCTAGTATTAAATTATCCACAGTATATTCACTGCAAAAACGTCGTAAAAGTAGTAATGATATATTCACGTCATTATTTCAATCACGTGGACAGGATCAAAACAGTCGTACAGGTGAAGAACCGATTCTTCTACAGGTATTAAGAAGACAGCATAGACGAACACTTCGTATACTCATAATACTATTGTTGGTATTTGTTCTTTGTCGTGCACCGAGATCAATTGTTCTGATGATTGAATGGTTAAGACATACATGTTTCAAGAAATGTGAGCCACATTTAAGCTCATGGTTACAGTATACTAGTATATTTGCTTATTCAAGTGCTGTACTGGACACAATTGTATATGGATTCTGGGGAAATCGTGCCTATAGGATACATATGAAGAATCTATATGCTCGTCGTAGCTTATGTAGATGTATTGTTTGTGCATAGCATCTACACAAACATTTATATGTCGTCATAATCATCATTATTTATTTTTCCATCGATATAATTACCAGTATATATATATATATATATATATATACACTCTGTTTGTTATACACACTGATCTCAACCAACTACTAACTCCTCATCCTTCTGGCGGCAAGTATACAACCAGTAGGAACAAATGATGAGCGCTTTGCATCATAGCGATGGAACGAATCACAATAGTGTTGATTTTTAATTACTCAACAAGACCACCTTTTAGTTAGAAACAGCAAAAAAACAATTCATCAAGGTTAAACCAAAAATTAGGGGGAATGTACAACAAAATCATGTCAGCCATTATTGTTTACTCCAATTTACTGTTTTATTATCTTTAAAACTAAAATATCCAGTGAATTTTTCCCATTGTTTCTTACATTTAACATGATTATAATTTCTCACATTTATACATTTTTGTCATTTATTTCTAATAACTTCATTACCATCACTGAGTTAGACACTCTGTATTGTTTTTTTCTGAAAGCAGACATATGTATACTTGTATATGTGTAACGCATATCTATCTTCTGTGGCCCCTCCTCATTCAAATCTTATTGTGGCACAGAGATATATGCAACAAAAACTCTTTTTAAGCACAATTTCTCAAATATATTTTTCTCTTCTTCTTAGCCCCCACTTTGTTTTTCTGTTCATTGTGAACATTGACCATGATATTCTTTCCTTTCAACCAATACAAATATGTTTGCGTTACTTCTTCATAGATATAAATAGATATATAATATTTCTTTTTCAACAATATGCGAAAGTTTTGGGAAGGTTTTTTAATATTTCTCTGGTTCATGGATTAATAATAATAATATTTCTGTTACTATTATTATTAACAGTGATAAAATGAAACAGAAAAGGATACCTAATAATTACAATATAACAAGTGTATATTGAGAACAGTTTTATACTCTTTTCCCTTCCTTTTAGACATATACAAACAGTAAGACGATTGTATGAGTAGGGTAACAAATGAATAGATATATGTTTGTCAAACAGTAGTATGATACAGTTTTTTTTCTATCAAAATAATTTTCATCTTATTTCGGTATCAGTTTTACAGAGATCGGATAACTAAGAATATTGATCAAGTGTTTCATAATAGTTTCTAGTTCTGCATCTTTATGACTGATTTACCATGGCAGATGAAATCTTTGCATACATACACTTTGGTCACGAACTAATACGAAGTGAAATGAGATATTTTAGTCACTAAGCAATACATTGGCTCCTTTTGGAGATACATCTTCTGCTTAGTTATTGAAATCATTGAACAATGATCTTTAAGTGTTTTGATCAATTTAGTTTTCGCTAGCGACGGTTGTTGAGTGGTTTGTTGGGATTGAAACTGCACATTTTACTAAGTAATATATATATATATATATTGTACAATTTTCATGGTTTGAATATTGCAAACATGAAAATATGTTAGCGGTTGACGAAAGATATTTCGGTATTCCATTCATATGTTTGCTATCCATCTGGAAATGAGACAATTTTCTGTGTAGCTGAGGTAGGAAACTTTGTCCATTTCACAATCATTTTTATCACTATAATGAAAACACTGAGCAAATAGGATCATAAGTTTCATGCTTTTGTAAAACTTCAGAGCAAGCACAAATGGTAATCAGTTTATTTGATTCATTCTTCTATAGACTTTTCATTCTATTTAGGACTCATTCACTAAATGTACTTCAATTAAATATTTTTCTTTTCATTGGAGACTAATGAATTACAATAATCAATGTTTGTTTGACAGGTGTAGGTCGTTATCTCAGCCTAAAACTCTTCACCAGTATTTTTTTGGTCGGAACTTATCAATTCTATTTGACACAAATGATAAATTTAGTGAAGCTTTTAGAAGGTACCTATATCGTTAAATCCCTCTCAACCATCACTGTCACCAAAATATGAATGAGAAAATTTGCGATAGTGTATGGTATATATTTAAACATTCAAAGAATTTTAGGAATGGAAAACTAAAATATACAGGTACTTAGCAGTAGTGAATCATCACGGAAAACGTATAAATTAAAATAACTCGCAAGGAATGCTGGTAAACTTAGTTACTGGTTTTAAAAATATAAGTTGAGCCTCAGTGTGAGGTTTTGAATAAGATGACAGAGATCGTTGTCTATCTCAGATTCTGGGCTTATTGGCATCCATCGACAAGTAATATATATACAACTACAAGGAAACTGGTGTTTACCTGCGCCACTAATTACTAAAATCAGAAATCTAACACAAGCTATTCAGGCCACAACAGACATTTTCAAGAGCAGATCCCGTAAATGAATTAATCACCAATGAGTAGCCGATCCAGCTGTCTAGTCCCTGATGTTTCGCAATGAAATGAGTCCATTGATCAAGTGTGCAGTGTGGGCACTAAGCTAAGCAGTCCAGTATGACAATGGACTGTAGTTTGGTTATGTTGTAGTGTTAGGTACCTAGATTAGTTACCCACTGGTAACTAATTCATGTAAGATCACAACAATTTTCGGACCGAATGTAACACAGTCAATACTGATGTTCTGTTTCATTATAGATTAGTTCATAAGAGGACAGTTTCAGAATGCTCGTTGTGATTGGTGGACTGTCAGGAAAACAAAGGAATTAAGGTTAATGGGGTAGAAATCCAGACGCTTAAGGAAATAGACAACTAGTTTGAATCCTCACTGGTAATTGAAGTGCTAAGCAGACGAATTTTGACTAAAAATAAATATTTGCATTGAATTCCACTTGCAATAGCCGGTCAGTAGTAACAAAATTGTTGATTGATCCTTAGCTATTTTACCAAACAAACTGTTTATGCACATGAAAACAGTAATAAACTAACGTGATAATAATAAGTTTTTAAAGTATTCACTGGATATTTGTCAAACATCACACCTAACTGTATAGTGCTCATTAGTGACATGCTTTCAAATATATATATATATATATATATATATATCGTGGTTATAATGAGAAGTCGTGACCTGGTATGAGGTCAACCAACGGGAAGGGAAGCGGATGCCAACTGAAGACACTGGATGATAGTTACGCTATATCACGAATTGGCAGTAGTTTGAAGCTGGAAACCATTGAATTCCAATCCAGTGGGTGAATATTCACCGTGAAACCTGAATGTTCTGAGACTGATCTCCGGCTGAGTGTTGGTTCTCCAACTGATATCAGTCTACGATGAATATAACCTCTTATATTGATAAGTTTTGCAAGTATTCATTGGATATTCGTCAAACATTATTGTTACCAACTATGACTCTCATTTACTGCATTTTATCAAAGTCTGATAATAGATAAACTAGTACCTTGATCAGGTTGAGTTTTGTGGAATATGCCTGTCGTATTAGCAATATTTGCATTTTAGAAGAAAAGGGACTTGAGAATCTACATCTTTTTTAACAGTTCAGTTTTTGTTCTAATCCCTTTTGTTTTTTTCTGATATCTCATTTTTCTAGGGTGTTTCCAATATTATTCTAGTCATCATCTTCAGGGGATTTAAATTCTTTACTGCTTTAGTTAGCACTTCAGCAAACTATGTGATATACAGTTCAGTTATTAATTACATTGCTTTTCGTTTATTTTACTCTTGAAAAGTTTGAACTCAGCTGACTTTGGAGTAGTAAACCTTCACGACACTCTTTGTATGTTCTTGTATTAAGCAATCAGTTGCAGCTGAGATCAACTGATACTATATGACTGCCTAAACGTTAGTAGATGATTAAAGATTTTGAACACGTCCCTGACATTTTGAAAATAAACTGCCTTAGCCAACCTATGAAAATTCCACAAAACAATAAGAAACAGCTTCTCCGAATAAAATTATATCATTTTTATATTTAAGTTTCACATCAGATTTATATACTATCTAGAATTTATGTGGAATTATCTGAACTAATGAATTCGGAAGACAGTTTAATGTCTTGACGGATATCGAAATGTGTCCATTGCGACCCCGAAATATAAGTGGAAGAAGCTGGAATTTTCATGAACTATGAACTTAGACAATATCCAGTTACACACCTTAAATGATTAACCTAATCCGAAAAGTTGCAACTTGAATAATTTAAACCAGTCTTTTACACAGTATTCATCATAAGGTTTGCATCATATGTTTGGGTTGTGTCTCATTTGCTTACTGTACTAGGCAGGTAAACTGGACTATTGTGTTCCAGATTCGTTATCAGATGCTGACTACCAACTTCTGTTTAACTGCTTTGCTGTGACTGAATTTCAAGCATAAATTAGGCCTCATGATAATGTCTGAATTAGCTTTCACTCATTTTTTTCTCAAAGTAGTGACAAATAGTTTTTCTGCATTCAACAGAAATAATTGTGGAAGTTGCACGTAAGCATTCTGGAAAATATTCTTCGTTTCTCAGTGTTACAAGTGAATAAAGCTTGAGGAGTCGCAATATTAAATCCGGTCATTAAGTAAAAATAAACATACTAAGAAATAACTCATTTCTTTCATAATCTTTTCAACATATAAGTTTTTGCAAAATTATACAGTGTAATACAATATGAAATTATTTTTTGTCATTCTTGAAATAAACAGTTTGAAGTTAACATACTCATCAGACTTTTATGACACCTCATGAGAAAGGACATACATATAATATTCTTTATCGATTTTTAAGTGATATGTTTAGCAAAAATCATAAGAACCACCATACCATATGTTGTGAACAACTAGAAGACTACATCTCGTATAACAGATCTTCATACTCAGGTTCCTAAAACCATTAGGAGATACTCAGTGCTACAAAGCAAGTGTTTTGGCTAGCAATATCTGACACAAAATGTAAGCACATACAAGTCTATACAATCATTTATGACGTTACATATTACATAGTCTTATTGGTAATATTGTCGGACTAACCGAATACTAAAACGTTAAGCGAGACTTACACCTGTGGTTCAGTAGCTAAAAGTTAAACGCAACAAAACGTATTTATTAGCTCTTAGAAAAGGGTTGTTTTAGCGAACATGAGTGTTTTCTTGACGATTCACATTCAATGTTCCAATTCTTAAATAAATAATTGGAAGGATAGCAA